TCCACAGTGGTTGCACCAGTCTACACTCCCACCAGCAGTGGAGCAGGGTTCCTCTTTCCCCACAGCCCTACCAGCATTTATTATTGGTTGATTTCCTGATAGCAGCCATTCTTTCTGGGGTGAGGTGGAATCTCAGCATTGTTTTCATTTGCATCTCTCGAATGACCAGTGACGTTGAACATTTTTTCATATGTTTATTTGCCATGTCTACTTCTTTGTGTGAGAAATGTCTATTCATTTCAGATGCCCATTTTTGGATTGGGTCTTTAAGTTTGGGAGGTCTAATTTTTTTAAGTTCTCTACAGATTCGAGGTAGTAGATCTTTGTCTGAGGGACCGCTGGTGAAAATTTATTCCCACGTTGTGGGTTGTCTCTTCACACGGCTGGTGGTTTCTCTTGCTGTGCTGACAGCTTGACATTTTAAATTGATGAATTTTGGCCATTATGGTCAAAGATGTAGAGAAGCAAGATAAAGATGCAGGACAACAACTTCTGAAAAAATGGTGGAGTGGTAAGCAACAACTCAGCCTCTCCAAGATTTAGAACCCAGACACTGGAAAATAACAACTCAGGGAAGAAAAAAAGAGGGAGGTGGATCCCTGGGACTCAGGAAGTATCTGAGGGGAAAACTGGAGCCCACACAGGAATTAAAAAGACAAAATACAACACAGAAAAAGGAAGGGGCAAGCAATTCATGCTTTCTTCCTGGCTCCTGGCTTGTGGCTCTCAAGAAATGAAGATAGAATGTACAGAGACACAATGAAAGTAGGGGACTCCAGATGGCTTCAGGGAGAAACACAGCAGTGGAACAGACTAGTGGATGCTGTCTGCCACAACTGCCAGTTAGTGATTCTAGTCCAAGCACCTGCCATATCCCCTGGAGAGAGTAGTCAGACACCATTCTAGGGAGAGGTTTAACTGAATCCAGGACTCAGAGCACCTGTAGGATGGGCTCATTTCAGGCCTCCAAGTGGTAGACTTACAGAATGACTGGCTCAGGGACTGTCACACGAGACAGCCATGATCAGAGTATTACAGTACATACCCAGAGAACGTGGTTGCTGGGCTAACTACACTGCATCCTTCCCTGCCAAATTAACAAAGGTGGTCAGATCTTGGGTCTGTGGCAAAGAATTATAGTTAGCCACACTCAAAGTACATCACTGAAAAGCAACTAAAGTGTTCTCTACACTAGCAACGAAGTCTTTAAATTATAAGCCTCCACAAACCTCAATGCAAAACAAAACAAACAAAAACAACAGAAACATGAGACAAGACAACAAAATGTCTCCCAAAACTCCCAACTCCTCTGAAGCCAATCCAGGGGGCACCAAGGGTTAGAATAACAGAAGCCATACACCTGCATTAGTTGAGAGGATAGCAGAAGCAGTTAGAAAACAGCTCAAAGAGGTACTCAGAGGGATTAGAGAAGATATAACTAAACAGAAAATGGAAGTAATAACCAAAAAGATGCAGAAGCTTTCAGAAGACACAAATAAAAAGATGAGCTAAACCAAACAATACAAAACATGAATGACCAGTTTATCAAAGAATTAGAGTACATGAAAAGGTTTCAATCAGAAATTCAGGAGATTTAAATCATTGAAATTATGGGTAACAGAAGTGACCAATGTGAGGACAGAATTTCAGTACTATAAGACAATAATGCCTTCAAAGACCTATTACTTAAAGACACCTTAAAAAGAAAAAGAGCACATGAAAAATGGATCCAACAACTGCTAGATGATGCAAAGATGAACCTAAAAAAAATCTGAATAAGTGAAAAATCAGAACACAACACAAATGGCATAAAAAGACCTGTTGACAGAAATAATGGCAGAAAACGTCCCAAATACAGGAAAAGAAATAAACCTACAGATAAGTGAGGCATACTATACACCAAATAGCCATGACCATACCACACTATACTCAAAGTACCAGAAGTCCATCACAGGGACAAAAATCTTAAAAGCTGTTAATAACAGCAACAAATCTCATATAAGGGTTAACTCACCTGAGTTCAATCCCTGGTACCAAAAAAAAAAAATTACAGCAAATTTCTCTAAATAAACCTTAAAGGGCAGGATGATTTGGAGTGAAGTGTTTCAAAGCCCTAAAAGATAACAACTTCCAACTCTGACTTAATATTTCCTGTAAAACTTTCCTGTAAAATTGACAGAGAAATAAGATATTTCCATGACAAGGAGAACCTGAAGAAATTCATGACCACCAAACCAGCATTACAAAAAATTCTCAAAGATATCTTACAGACAACAAAGCCAACAATGCCACTAAATAAAAAAGAAGGAATACACTTGGTGATATGAATAGCCAAGTGTAAGAAAAAAAATAAAACGGCAATAGGAAAATAATACAATTAAAGAAATAAGTCAATAACTTTCACTAATAATTCTTACTGTCAATGGTTTCAATTCCCCAAACAAAAGATAAAGATTGGCAGAATGGATCAAGAAACAAAACCCAACAATATTAACTATATGAGACATGTTTAATTCAAAAAGAAACTCACAGTTTAAAAATCAAAGGATGGAAAACAATATTCCACCACAGCAACCTGGAAAAAAACAGGAGTTGCTATCCTAGTTTCAGACAAAGTGTATTTCAAGCCAAAACTGACCAGAAGAGACAAGGTCATTACCTATTAGTTAAGGGAACACGTTAACAGGAAAAGTTAACAATTATAAACGTATATGCACCAAATACTGGTTCACTCAGCTTCATAAAACTGATGAATAGACATGAAAAATTAGGGGCCAGGGATGGTAGCTCAGTGGCACTGCACCTGCTTCACAAGTGCAAGGTCCTGAATTTGATCCCTGGACCAGAAAAAAAGAAAAAGAAAAATTAGATAAACACTAATATCATTGTAATGGAGGACCTCAATACCCCATTGTCACAAATGGACAGATGA